ATTTTTTTTGTATGTAAAATTTCTAATAGCTTAGATTGCAAAAATTTACAAATTTAACCATTCAAAATCATCATCAATTTCAAGACAATTTACAAAACATTTCAAAAATTAAGAATTTAATAATTTTCGAATTATAAGTTTCTTTATAAGTTTTTTATAAGTCTTATATATTTTTATATATAAGAAATTATAAGTTTTTTTGTCTTGAAAAATTTTTGAATTTCTACGGGATATTTCGAGAATTCTCGAAGATGTGTAAAATTCCTCAATTATTTCAACAATGAAATAATATTTGTAAGTTTTTCTGCACTACAAATAACCACAGTATACTACTATTACAACATTACCGAGAACAATAACAATTTCTTTCTAATGAAGCAAGAAGGGACGGGAAGTATGGAAAAAATAAGTTGATGAGAAAGAAACAGTTGTTATTCTATACTGCAAGAATAAAAATTAGTGAAGTGAAGTTTTTCAAATTTTATAAAAACAATCACATAAAGTTCACATTATTTCATTCAACTGATTGGATGAAAATTAAAGTTCTAATTGATGACAGGATTTAATTAATGAGTAATGCATTTTGTAAGATAGTGTTCAGAATATAAAAGCGATAAATTTCAAATTAAATTTTAAACAAAAACATGAAAATCTCTGATTCATTACCAAAATTTATGGATAAAATTGCAATTAACTCAACTTAATTGTCATATTATTTAAAAGTTAATAAATCAATATTCTCTAGAAATTAAGTAAGCTAAGTTTTATCAATAGTTAACAACAAATATTTCACAGCGAAAGATAAAAAAAAGCACTAATAAATGTTGGTTAATTTTTTTCAGTAATTTTATTAAATTACGAGAACTTTCGAAAATTTAAAATTTGCAAAATTTCTGAAAAAAAAGAAAATGAAATTCCTTAAAAAAAAAATGTTAACAGATGGAAAAATAAGATGGATAGATTAAAAATGAGAAATCAATAATTATTATTTGAAACAATAAAATAATTTGAACAAATTGTTCGAAACAAACGGATGATTTAGATATGGAAAGGTAAGTGAATGAATGAATGTAATGAATGAATGAATGGAATGAATGAATGAATAAATGAATGAATGAATGAATGAATGAATGAATGGAATGAATGAATGAAAAGGCTTAATGAACGGATCTGTTTAAACAACTGCTTTTAAAACTAGTGCAAACATTAGCAAGACGGATAATGATGACAAAAGGTGGCCGAGATGGATGGACGAATAGATGAATGAATGAAAGAAAGGTGGCGGAGATGGATGGATGGATAGATGGATGAATGGAAGATTAGCTGATATCTTTCTGTTTGAAGAGTTCAAATTCATTTCCTTTGCTTTTAAAAATCCTCAATTATTACTTCAATCTCTTATCATAGCATGTCATAAGACTTCACATTTGATCACCTCAAATTGCTAATAATCTCAAACAGTTGTTACATACATTTGTAAAATGTAAATTGGATTAATTAATTTAATTTCTTCCTTTATGTACAAATTATTAGCTATGTTATTATTGCTAATAAATTATTTATGCAAGCATAAATTGCTTTAAAAAAAAAAAAAAAAAAGAAAAGAAAGAAGAAATTCCGACGCATAAAAGAACGAATTAGAAATGAAAACAATGTTTAAGAAAAGTTATCTCAAAAGATGTAAGTGATAACCAAAATGATTAATACTAATGGTATGATAGCAATAACAAAATGACAAAAGATATTTTAGAAAAAAAAATAATTATTGCAAAAAATATCATACATATTACTATGACAAGGTTAAAGGTTAACGATAATAGATTTTACTATCATCTGGCTGAAACTTTATTGAAGTAAAAGTTTTTTTTTTTTTATTGCAGAAGTATTTCAGCATGAACTAAATGTTAAATTAGAGGATTAACGTAATTGTGACAATTAATGAAATGATTGACAAAATTGTTAATTAATTATTTTATATTTTTGTATCAAATTATATTCAGTAATTCAATTTTTTGTTTCGCTTTATCTTTCATTTTCTCGGATAACTTTTTCAAAATTCCAACATTATGTAGAATTTGTAATTAAAAATTCTCACTCTCTTCATCAATAATAATCGCTATTATTATTGGAAACCATTCTAATATATATATATATATGTTCGTCCATACTACAAGGACATATTTAATTTCAGGCTAATTATGCACACTAATAATATGAGTTTGTAGTAAAATTCGATCTGAAGTTCTTTCTTAAATCATTGAACAATAGTGATATGAAACTTTCAAAAGATTACAAATCAATTTTTCTCAAAAACATTATTCTCCAATTATTCTCTGATTATATTTTTCATAATTTTTTATTTCATCTACATTAAAACAATTGAAAATTTGGACTGCTCTCTTATGCTGTTCTACTGGATCATGCAACTACATATGCTGTTCTACTGGATCATGCAACTACATATGCTGTTCTACTGGATCATGCAACTACATATGCTTGATTTACTTGATCTATGCTTGATTTTACTTGATTTACTTGATCGCAATCATTTTAATTTGTGCTTAAGGAAATTTGAGCTAATTCTCATCTACGATGAGGATGCAACACCAAATTGAATTACAGCTGGTCATAAATCCCACAATTACAATTGCGGCGGTCTCTTTGCGATTCTGTACATGCCTAATTGGATGGTTTCATTAAATAAATAATTTATTATTTGTATCAAAACAATTCGAAAGAACATTTCGTTGATTTCAATCAAGAAAGTTAAATTTGAATTATACTGAAATTAATTTTGCCCAGCAAATGTGTTATTCAATAGTCACAACTGATTTCCTACAATAATCCTTCAAATATTCATTTCAAAACTATCCAGATTTTTAATACAAACGATAATCTAGGCCGAATTGTAGTACATTTCATCAAATTTTTACTGCATAAAATTGAACCATTGTGAAGAGGATAGGCAACTAAAGATGGATTATAGGCTATTTCATAGAACGGCGATGAATGTTTGATTGTGATAGGACGAATAAATTGACCTCAACCCGATTTCGGAAACTATTCTTCCATCTCGGGAATGAAAACTATTCCTCCACTTTATCCTTTCATCTCGGGAATCAATCCTTTCTTTCCCTATTCTCCTATTGATTATCCGGATATTTATGATTACAATTAAATGTAATATTGTTATATTGATGACTAGCTCAACAAACCCCAGTAAATGTTCCATTACTTTCCACCTCTTCATTTTAATTAATGATTGCAACTTTCAACTTTGACCCTGGATATATTATTTTGGAAGAAGTTCAGAAATTTTTCTTACAGTTCCTTCCCATCTAAAATTAAGTTTTCAAATTATGCTAAGAATGTGCATGAAAATAAAATGCTAACGCTGATTAGATTAATCAATTCATAGTTCCGGAAGCTCATTTATTTCAAAAATTTTATTTTGTCATTATCAATTTGATTTATGAAGTTTTGATTTTTTTTCGACAACATTTGCTTTAGTTATTTCAAATTTTTAATTTATGAGAGAATTAAAAGAGCAGGTGACCTGATACAGTAATTACTGATTTTAAAAAATTGAAATTAAATAACCTGTCCATCGATTCATCAGAAGTCTTATGTTGATTTCCTCACTCAATAATTAAATACTTATTCCATCTTTTTTGTTCGTTGTATAAGAAGGAAAAAGGAATGGAAGGAAAGGAAAAAAGGAAACTTTTAAAAAAAAAAAATTTTTTTTTCGGGCAAATTGCAAGATATAGAAAGGATTTTCATTTCCCTCTTACACCAAATCATTCACCCTCTCCTAACTACCCCTTCTCCTTTTCCTTTTCCTTTTCCTTTTCCTTCTTCTTCTCCTTCTCCTCTTCCTCTTCCTCCTCCTCTGATCTTCGCAATTAAATTTTCCTCCAACCTCATTACTCATCTTTTCTTGTCCTTCAGCATATTTATTACTTTTGCAGAAATTTCACATAGCACCATAAATTATCACAAGAATTATTATTGAGTGCTATTGTCGCTATCGCTTATGAAGAACTGCGCAAAAACACTACCATTCCTTGTCGTTTTATTTGCAAGCTTCATAAGGTCACAGAAATTTCGAAGTAGGAATTTTTTGATATTTGAATTTAAAGTTCATTGAAATTTGCTGGCACTTTTTTCAGCTTTTAAAAATGATAGATTGATAAGTTTATATTATCAATAACAACTAACGATAGTAATTAGTAATGATAACATTGAAAGATAATGCTGCTAATAACGAATAAGCGGAAATTTATAGATTTAGAATTTAGTGATGTCAAAAATAGTTTATGATAATCGTTCAATTTCATTCACATCGAATAATTTAGAAAGAAATTAGGATAAAATTTTGAATTTAAAATGAGAAGGACTGTCATCTGTCATCTGATAATACGTTGTTCTATCTCGAATGTTTCAGGGATTTGTGAGGCGCAAAAAACATGCATGAATTGCGGTGATAACCGCTTCTCATATTACAAATGTAGTGATTCAAGCGATTGCTTTACTGATGAGATCTGTGCTAAACAGGGTTTCTGCTGTCCTTCAACTGAATTTGATAGGACAGTGTCATCTTTATCTAATGATGATTTTGGTAATGCATCGTTACTGTAGTTTTGATTTGAATATGAATTACAATTATTACAGTAATGAGAAAGAGGTATATGTAACGATGCCAACTTTTTGAACATACGATTTTATAGCTTTTCTAATTGATGAATAAATGTACGAAAGTTTTAATGAATGAAAATTAAGTAGCAATTAGATAACAATCATTAATTATGAAGATAGAAGGGTAGAAAAAAAAAAAATTGTAGATTACATTGAATTTTAATTGTCAAATGAAGTTACTTCTTAATACGAAAAATAAAGAATTCTTTGTTAAATTACATTTATTTATTTACCTTTGCTAAATTCACAAACAATTTTTTTTTTTCACAGAATTCATTGATGTTACAGCTTTTAAATATGAATCTGAAGAATCAGGAATGTGTCCGGATGGAAATCCATCAATTCGACAATGCAATAATGATTCAGATTGTATGTTTGGTGATGAAATGTGTGCAGTTGGAAAATGTTGCTCAGGTTATTGTCGTATTATTTAAGGATAGGAAAGAATTTTTTGATGTTTAGAAAATCAGAAATTTTCGCAATCTATTTAAAAGTATAAAATTGTCTTTTCTTACAGTATGTTCACAGCATCGACGTCAAGTGTTGAATAATTTACCAACTAATAATGTTGTTGGTGTACATATACCTCAATGTGATCCTACCGGTAAACATTATCGAGCAGTACAATGCCGTACTGGAACTGAAGAATGTTGGTGTGTTTCACGATATGGCCGGATTATTGGTTTATTGAAACCTAAAACGGCAGATTCGAATGCAGCATGCGAAATATTACGATTAACAGTGAAACGTATTATGGAGGAGAAGCGGGAACGTGTTAAAATACGTCGAAAGCAGGAAAATTTAACAAGTCCAAAACAAGAGAGTCAATCGATTGCTATACTATCTAAAGGACAACAAGGTACAGAATCAAAGCAACAACTTCAGAGTATAAATAATGAAATTGGCGACAAATGTTTATGGATGAAATCTGGACGATGTCCGGATCAACCGGCATCTCTTACTGGTACATCAAAACTTTGCCACTGTGACGGTGATTGTTCAGGTTTACAGAAATGTTGTCCAGTTTTAGCTGGTGGATTGGCTTGTTCTCCTAATATTACAATCAGTACCGGTACTGATATTTTCTTTATTTTTGCTTTTCTTCAAAAAGAAATATTATTTTTATTTATTTATCGCTAATTTATTGAATTATTTTTTGAAGTTATTCAAGTGAATTTTTGGTTCGTATTGACTTGATACTTTAGCAATTTCTAATAAACAACGGAATGAAATAGGGTTTTTGCATATGATGATTTCATGTCTTACAAATAATTTCTGAAAATGATAAAATAAAAATTAAATAACTTATCGTTATCATCATGTTGTAGATCAATTATCAGCGATATTACACTCTTCATCAACCAATTCAACAGCAGTATGCGCTAAGAATGAAGAGTTTGTGGAATGTGTTAATGAATGCAAAGTAAGTTGTTCTTCAAGAAAATCGATTCCATGTTTCATTGAACGATGCAAGAGTGGATGTCAATGCAAATCAGGTTTCCGGTTTTTTTTCTTTTTTTTAAAATCCTAACTGTTTTTATGGGAGAATAAAATTGTACATTAACGTATCACTTCGTTCCGCCACTTTACAAAATCTAATATTTAAGATTTACTGATACGAGAGTGAGAATTTTAATCAGTAAAATAAAATCAACAAGAGATTACTGATAGCGGTTATCAATTTAGTTATCATAAAAGCAATTCTAAAAATAGCTATGTTTCATATAAAGCTAATTAAAATCTGAATGAAATTTAAATAAATCTGCTTTTCAGGTTTCATTCGTCAAAACGATGACTTTCATGCACGATGCATCCCGGAAAATGAGTGTCCTCAACAGATTACTGAACCAGAAAAACGTTGCATTGATCCTTTGCGTGAATATAAGACTTGTGGTTCAGCTTGTCCAATTTCATGCTTTTCTCAATTTGAAAAATGCACAACTGAAGGGTGTGTGGAAGGATGCTTTTGTAAAGTTCCATATATTCTCGAGAATGGTTCGGATTCAATCCATTCCAGGTAACCATTTCCAACTACTTCAAGTTAGATGATGATGATGATTTGCGAGAGTTTCAGCGATACTAGTACTCAGTTAATTAACCTTCGATAATTCTTGCGAATGTTTGATTCTCGATTTAAAATATTAGGAGATTTTTGATTTTGGTTTGGTAGTCAAATTTGTTATGCTAAATTTTGACAAAATAAACGGCAAGAAATAAGCAAAAGTTCAAGTTTGTGAATGATTTAGACTGATCCTTTTTTGATCATTCATATTGAATTTTTGATAGTTTTACTAATTAATACAAATTATCTGGTTCAGATAGAATTTAAATGAAGTTGAAAATGATAAAAGTGATATTTAAATGAAGTTGAAAATGATTTAAATAAAATTGAAAATGATGTCTTGAACTTCAGATGCATCCTACCTGTATACTGCCCTCTATTACTGGGAGATTATTCTCCACTGAATGCTACCATTCATTTCGTTGCGATGGCTCCAACAACCCTTAATTCCCATTTATTTCCTGAACATCGCAAAGACTCGATCACTCAACCGACAGTGATGCGTTGCAGCGATCCACTGAAGAATTTCCATATCTGCGGTTCTGGCTGTCCAGGTTATTAGAT